TCTGGGCTATCCCAGTGGGAGGTACACTGGTGTTGGCCAGTACTTGAGATGTTCCCATGTCAAGGGCTTTGTCCACATTATCATGTAAACCTCTTGCCATGATGGCAATCCCATTGGGTGGATGAGCAAAACCAAGGCTCACACAAGGGGCACACCCTAGGAGAGAGACAGAGCCATTTGGTTTGCTTTATCAAGTATTGTTTTTGCCAAGCCTGTGGTATGTAATGAGCCCCATGTGCTGCTGAGTCCTGTGGACTTGGCTAGGAGGTATTGCTCAGACTGGACTTCCACACCTATTTTTTGACCCAAGAAGAATAACAGCCAGTTCTGAAAATGGAAACTTGATGGCCTGGAGGTTTTGTCCAGGAGGTGTGAGGCAGAGTGGCCTGGAGGCAAGGTACTGGCCTCTTCCCTTTCCCTCCTAAGGGCTAGCTCAGAGTCTTCCTGTGTGTTTGGTTCCCTGTCCCTGGGGGCTCTGTCAGCCAGCCCAGCTCTAGCAGGTGGGGGCCTTACCAATCCAGGCCCTGGGAACGAAGCAGTCTCTGAGCAGGCCGGCACTGCAGGGTTTTCTCCCTCTCCAGAGAGCTTGGCGGGTCTAGATTGAAATGATTAGCACAGCGGTGCTCCCCTACTTTTCTTGGGGGATTATGTCACAGTCTATTAAGCATGCTCCCTCGGTATTTAATCCCACTCTGACATGGATTTGCTGGCAGCCTGTGAAGTGGCACGGCTTAAACCTGCCTGCTGTTGGGGGAGCATGCCGTTGTGTACTGTGCACAACCCTCAGGAGTTCCACCTTCCCTCCCTCAGGGCCTTCATTTTGTTCCTCTCTTTCCTTTTCTTCTCTCCTGCTCTCAGTTGAGCAGCCTGAAGAAAGTAGATCAAACACTTAGGCCACACTGCCCAGAGGGCAGAGAGCTCTTAAGGGTTCGGGCATGGAGGACATAGTGTGGTGAATGGCCTTGGGCATGCACCAAAACCATCCAGTGTTGTCCCAGAGGGGGCCCCCAAAAAAATCCCGTGAGTTTTAGGATGAGATCATCTGTAGTGTTGTAGCTTCTTAATTCTAGGGAAACAAAATTCTTAGTATTCATAACCAAGAGATGGTTCGGGTCATTTGTGTGATGCCCTCCCTTGTGTTTGGCTAAAGGGGCTTTAAGGGTGGGTCTGCATGCTGCTTCTCTGCCTATGTACGGAAGCCTTGGAGATGAAAAGGGCTTCTGGAATCATTCTGGATGATCCTTAAGACTCCAGTTCCTCCCATTGTATTTCTGATGGCCTGGTGCCTGTTTGAGGATGCTCTCCAGCTCTGGCTGTACTGAGCCAGTCTTCTGTGTCCTGGACAATGCTTCACAGTCTTTATTTCTTATTTGTGTCTCTCCTTCAAGGAAAGTTCAGGGGAGGTAGCTAGTTATCCATGCTGAGCATCTGATACTCAGAAAAATTTGTGACTGAATGCAACTCTTTTAGCTTTAGCTTTCCCCTTCCTATAATGTGGTGAGATAATCTGGCTCTCTTTAGCTTTTTTTTTTTTAATGTGCCTGTCTGAACATCTGTTCCTTAAAGCTTGTACTCTACCACTTGAACCACAGCTCCACTTCTGGCTTTTTTTTTTTTTCTCAGTTATGAGGCTCGAACTCCCCTCACTCTTCAGCTCAAGGCAAGTGATCTACTTGAGCCACAGCACCACTTCTGGTGGTTAATTGGAGTTGAGAATCTCATGGACTTTCATGCCCTGGCTGGCCTCCAGAGTAGCTGGGATTACAGGTGTGAGCCACTGGTTCCCAGCTCACTTCTGGCATTTTTGAGAATGGTTTATTGGAATGTCTCATGGACATTCCTGCCCAGGCTGGCTTTGAACCATGATCCTCAGATCTCAGAATTGTAGGCATGAGCCACCAGCGCCTATAAATCTTTAGATCATCTTCATGGGCTTCAGGACACCAATCTTTCTTTGAGTCCTGCCTGACTTTCCCAGTTTCTCCAAGGTATGGCTCTAGCTCACCCTAAATCTTCCCATCTGGGGTACCCAGCTCTGTTTGCTCCAGTCCCCACTCTCAGTGAGTACACTAGAGGAAACCTAGGCTCAACACCAGCTTCTTCCCAGGGACCAAACCAGTTTCCCCAGTTCCATGGTGTTTTAACCTGGGTGAGGCCATCCTGCTATTTCTGTGGGTGAGCAGAGAGAGCTGGTGATTGGGAGGTGCCTCCCTTGTCAGAAGATCTTCCCAACCCTTCCAGGGCAGTGCCTGTGTGGCGTGCCTTCTGTAGAGTGGCCTTGGCTAACCCGGCATTGGAGGAAGCGACAGGAGGCACCCTTCAGTGTGGCTCCACATTTGTTTTCTCTGGAGCTAAAGGAGACTAGGTGTGGTCTCAATATTTTTTGTTGTTGTTTGGTTTTGTTTTGTTTGTTGGTTGGTTGTAGGGCTTGAACTCAGGACCTGGGGGCTGTCCCTGAGCTCTTTTGCTTAAGGCTAAGCACTCTTACCACTTTGAGCCACAGCTTCACTTCTGGTTTTTGAGTGGAGATAAGAGTCTCACAGAGACTTTTCTGACCAGGCTAGTTTTGAACCATGATCCTCAGATCTCAACCTCTGGAGTAGCTAGGATTACAGGTGTGAGCCACCAGTGTCCGGCTTGCCTCTGTGTATTTAAGAGCTGCTCTTGACCTCCACTTCTGAAGTTCTTGAGGACTGGGGCTATTGGGTTTGAAGCCAGACTAATGGGTCCCATTGGATGAGGCATGAGGTTAATAGAGAAGCCCCTCTTGAGGCTGTGAAAGGCAGGGAGGGTCCTCAAGAAGTGGTGGTTTGTTGTTTTCTGCAAAGCCAATGAGAGAGCCCTTGAGGGCTTTTGGTTGTCTGTGCCCAGGCCCCATTAGTCTTTTTGGTCCTGGGTGGGTTCTACCACTCTTCATGTGACTTGGTCTGTTTTTTTGGCCTAGTTAATTGAGGTGAGAGGATTTTTATGCTGGGAGCTTTAAAAAAAATTCTTGGGGTGCTGGGATGGAACCTAGGCACGTGTTCTTCCACTAAACCACACCTGCAGCTCTTGGTTATTTTGGGGGTAGGGTCTCATTTTTTTTCTTCTCTCTCTTTTTTTTTTTTTTTTGTTGGCTGTGGGGCCTGAACTCGGCCTGGGCGCTTCCCCTCAGCTCTTCAGCTCAAGGCTAGAGCTCTACCCCTTGAACCACAGTGCCACTGCCGGCCTTTTCTGCTTTATATGGTGCTGAGGACTCGAACCCAGGGCCTCATGCATGCAAGGCAAGTACTTTACCACTGAGCCACCTTCCCAGCCCCATTTAGAGCTTTTTCTGTGTATGTGTTACTGAGGAACCAAACCTGAGGCTTCATGCGTGCTAGGCAAGCACTCTACCACTAAGCCACATTCCAAAGCTGCTTGGGTCTCACTTCTTGTGGACAGGTTTTGTTGATTTTAGGCTTCCCCGTTATAACTAACAGCTGCCAGCTCTCAGTTGAGAAGGGATTTCACAAACTTCTGACCAGGCTGCTCTCCAACTGTGATCTTCCCATTAGACCCTCCCAGGTAGCTAGGATTTATAGGTGTGAGCCACTGGTGTCTAGACCTTTCTTCAATTCTTATTTTGTTTTGAGACAGGGTCTCACTTTGTAACCTAAGCGGGCCTTAAACTCAAGATCTTACTATCTCAGCTTCTCAGGTTTATTGGTGTTATAGGATTATTGGTGTTAAGTGCCATTCCTTTCTTTTTTGGTCAGTTGTGGGGCTTGAACTCAGGGCCTGGGTGCTGTCCCTGGCCTCTTCAGCTCAAGGCAAACACTCTACCAATTGAGCCATAGTGCCACTTCTGGCTCTTTTTGTGATTTAATTGGATATAAGAATCTTACAGACTTTCCTGCCTTGGCTGGCTTGGAACTGCGATCCTCAGATCTCTGGGAACTTAAAATTGTTATTTTTTCTTTACCAAGTCCTGTACTTTTGAGAACTCTTATCTGTGGGTTTGGCTTGAACTCTGAATTCTTTTTCCACCTGTCCCTTCCTTAACCTATACCCCTCACCCGCCTGCCCTCCTTCCCTCCCTGCCCCCTTCTCCCCCACCCCCACCCCCCTATAGCTTAGTTAGGTGGGACTTGTTGGCTAGCTGGCTGGTCAGGTCAGGTCTCAAAGCACTGGGCATGGGTGACTGGGGAAGTTGACAATGGAAGGAAGAGTTGAGAAGAGAACCTGGAGAAGTACTTGGAGGCAAAGGGGAAAAGAGCAGCCCATAGCACTTAAAGCTGTCATGGGACTTCTCTGGAGGCTATTGGTGGGCTTAGGCCTGCCTGTGAGTGGTTCACAGCAGTGGGCCTTTCCTCACTGTGCACAGCTCATGCCCAGCTTGCTGAGCATCTCCAGGGGCGCTAGGGTGCCCTGTGTGTGGTGCCAGTCCATGTTCCCCAGGAGAGGAATAGCTGAGAGGGCGCTAGGTACTCCTGGTCTGCTCAGAGAGAGGGAGGCTTCAGTCTACTCATCAGAGCACCACAGCTGCTGCTTTTCTTCTAAGAAGAGCATTGGGATTTCCAGTGTAGATTGGACTCTGTGTTCGCAGCAGTGTCTGTACTGACTTCTTATTGATGGTTGTAGTGCTGGGGCTAGAACCCAGGGCCTCACACATACTACGCGAGTGCTATACCACTGAACTACAGCCCTTGCTTGTTGGCAGTCTTCCAATGAGTCTCACCTATGCCCCTCCCAGTCATGGTAAACTCCAGGACAGGTTCTTCTTTCTGAGATGGGGTCTCAACCCAGGCTACCATGGAGCACCCTACATAACCCAGGCTGGCCTAGAACTCACAGCCCTGCCTTAGCCTCCTGAGTGCTGGAATTACAGCCTGGCTTGTAGGCAGGGTCCTTCGTAGAGGCGGGTGAGGGATGGTTTCTGCAGCCTGTAGCCTGCGTCACCCCATCAACCTCACTAGCCCAGAGTCCTCAGGGTTTGCTTCCTAGCCCACGTTCACATCAGCTTTGGGGTTGGTTTTTAGGGAAGATGGGGAGCTGGAAGAAGGTGAACTGGAAGATGATGGGGTTGAAGAGACGCAGGACGCCCCAGGGGGACCAGAGAGGAGCCGGAAAGAGAAAGGGGACAAGCACCATAGTGACTCAGACGAGGAAAAGTCTCACCGGAGGCTGAAGAGGAAACGGAAGAAAGAACGGGAGAAGGAGAAGAGGAGGTCCAAGAAGAGAAGGAAATCCAAGCACAAGGTAGGTGCAGGAGGGCTAGTCACTGGCATGGGCCACCTGACAACCTGGAGGGGGCTGTCAACAGTGGTGGCTTTTCCTGCCCCTAAGCAGATGCAGACTTAGTGGAGTCGATAGCTTATGCTCCATTGCCACTCAGTGCCCCTAGGTGAGGTTTTGCAGTAACACCTGGATGTCCCCGGCACCACTGGGCCCTGGGGCTGGACCGTGCCCGGAGGACCTGCAGCAGCCTCACTCCCTCCTCCCCTGTCTTTGCAGCGCCATGCTTCTTCCAGTGATGACTTCTCCGACTTCTCCGATGACTCCGACTTTAGCCCCAGCGAGAAGGGGCATCGCAAGTACCGGGAATACAGCCCCCCGTACGTGCCGGTGAGTGCTGCCTAGCCTCTGTGCGTGGAGACACCTGGTATTGTTTTCTTTCTTTCTTTTTTATTTTTTTTTTGGGGGGGTGGTCCGGTCATGGGGCCTGAACTCTGGGCCTGGGCGCTGTCCCTCAGCTCTTCAGCTCAAGGCTAGCGCTCTACCACTTGAGCCACAGCACCACTTCTGGCTTTTTTTTTTCCTACTTATGTGGTGCTGAGGAATCAAACCCAGGACCTCATGCATGCAAGGCAAGCGCTCTACCACTGAGCCACCTTCCCAAGCCCCTGGTATTCTTTTCATCCCCATCGATTGGTGACTTCGAACCTTCAGATCTGTGCCCAGGCAGCGGCTGATCTCCCCCAGGCTGGCTCTGGCACCCTCTCTGTGCCGAGCCTTCCCCGCAGTCATGGCAGGACTGTGTATCACTGGTCTTTGCATTGCTTACACATGACCTGTGGGAAGTAGACAAGAGAAAAAAATGACCAGGAGAATAAATTATATCAAAGTTGCACAATTAGAAGGTAAACATTCCATTACATTTCTGAACTTAAATACAAGATGGACTTATTTGTTTAGTTTGTATATGTTACTCTCCACCAGAAAACCCATAAGAAAGATTGAGTTGGGTTTCACCTTTTGATAAAGAAATGTTGAAAAGATAGCACTTTGTCATTGTGTATGAGACATGGTCTCTGGCCCTGTCTCTCTGCTCCTATGTTAGGATTACAGTTGTGCACACCAGGCTCAATTTAGTAACACCTTTTAAAGTTGGGATGAGTGGTCATGCCTTTAATCCTAGCTCCTTGGGAGCTCAGATCAGGAAGATGCCAGTTTGAGGCCAGGGATCTGCGGAGAAAAACTGATCAGAACCCATCTTAGTTTTAATAAGGCAGAAAGGGGTAGGAAGGGTACTGTGATCCCAGGTAGGTTTGATGTATAAATAGGGTAATGGGCCAAGCTGGCCCAGGCAAAAAGAGAGACCCTGTCTCAAAAATAACCAGAACAGAGCTTAGTGGTAGAGTGCTTGCCTTGTATGCATGAAGCCCTGGGTTCGATTCCTCAGACCACATACACAGAAAAAGCTGGAAGTGGTGCTGGGGCTCAAGTGGTAGAGTGCTGGCCTTGAGCATAAGAAGCTCAGGGTCAGTGCCCAGGCCCTGAGTTCAAGCCCAGGACTGGCAAAAACAAAACAAAACAAGCCCACCAGAACAGCTGGGCTCTTGCTGGTGGCTCATGCTACTGAGTAGGCTGAGATCTGAGGATTGCAGCACAAGGCCAGCCCTTCTGTTATCTGCCCCCAACATATCTAGGAAGGTTGAGACTGAAGAGCACCCTCCTTCCTTTTTTTATTTTTTGGGGTCCGGTCGTGGGGCCTGAACTCTGGGCCTGGGCGCTGTCCCTCAGCTCATCAGCTCAAGGCCAATGCTCTATCACTTGAGCCACAGCGCCACTTTGTTCATGTGGTGCTGAGGAATTGAACCCAGGGCCTCAGGCATGCAAGGCAAGCGCTCTACCACTGAGCCATCTTCCCAGCCCGAGCACCCTCCTTCCTACACCCCAATGTAGTTTTTTTTTTGCGTCATGGGAGATGTCCCTTCTCTTTGCTTTATTGGGGATGGTGGGGTCAATGCCCACCACAGCCCTCCGCCCACTGGGAAGAACTGCTACCAACAGTATTTGGAGACAGTTGCCCGTGCACTGCTGGAGCAGTAGAGGTACCAGAGGGTTGCTTCCTTGAGAACCAGGGGACCTGTGTGGTTCTGACTCCAGGCCCCCGGCGCCGACTCAGCCTCCTCCCCTTTCTGACTCGCAGTCACACCAGCAGTACTCCTCATCACACTCTGCACCGTTGCCCAAGAAGTCATACTCCAAGATGGATAGTAAGGGCTATGGCATGTACGAGGACTACGAGAATGAGCAATATGGGGACTACGAGGGGGACGAGGAGGAGGACATGGGCAAGGAGGACTATGACGACTTCACCAAAGAGCTGAACCAGTATCGGCGCTCCAAGGAGGGCAGTCGGGGGCGAGGTGAGTGCCCTGTAGCTCCCTGCAGGCCACAGTGGCGGCAGCCAGGGGCTCGCTCAGCTGTGCAGAACCTGGCTGACTGTGAGGCTCTTAATGGGCCTCGAGTCCTGGAGGAGAAGCAGGCAATCATTTGGGGATAGGCATGGTTCATGGGGACAGGAAAAGCATTGCAAGGTGTTTGGGATGGCTCCAGGCAGATAGGAAGCTGAGAGAGGACCACTGTGGTGGCCAAAGGATGGCTTTGGGAAGTTAGCTTCCTGGTCAGCTGTGGGGGAGAGAAGAGGGCCTACCAGGGACAGCTGACTGCACTCTCCTCAGTCCTCCTCTCCCAGCACCTGCCACACCTCTGGACCTTGAACCTCGGGAGGACAGTGGGTGAGAGACGGCCCTGCTCCACAGACAGACCAGCCCAGTCTGTCTCTCCTGGCAGAATGACCCCAGCCTAAGTCTCCTTGTGGAATCTTCTGGCTCAGCTTCTTAGGCTTGTGATCCTTGTCTAAGTCCCAGCTGATTGTTCTGTTAGGGTGGTATTCATTTGTTTTTGTGGGACACCTCGGCAGAGTTTGCTTTGGGGACCTGTGCTGTCCATGGAAGGCGGAGGCAGGCTACCGTGTAGTTTTGTGTCTTGTACCATGTCAACAAAGTGACAGGAAACACATTAACTTCACTTTATCAGCCAGTCCTATTACTGCATGACGTCATCTTAGACAGGTGGGGTCTTCTGTAGTCCTTCTTTCCTCTTAAGTGTTTGGTGTCCAGGTGTTTTATTCTCCACATCATCCCACCCACGTATCAAGTGCTCATTGTGGGGCAGCTGAGTGGCAGGGTAGTGAGTGATGGAGGAGCCCTGTATCCCGAGGCCAAGTGACCCCATTGAGGAGACAGCACTATTAGCCTGGCTGGGCTACCTGGGAAGGCCTCCTGATGGAGGAGGAGGAGGAAGATGGCGTTGCTAGCTGAAGGGCAGGAAGCAGGTTCCTTTCTTCGTTGTGGTGGGATTTGCAGCTTTGTTGTCCATTCACCCTGTAGGCAGCCGAGGCCGGGGCAGGGGCTACCGAGGCCGAGGAAGCCGAGGAGGAGCACGAGGCCGGGGCCTGGGCAGGGGCAGCCGCGGCCGGGGCAGAGGCTCCATGGGAGGAGACCACCCGGAGGATGAAGAGGACTTCTATGAGGAAGAAATGGAAGTAAGCGCCTGCGTGGCTCTGGTGGGCACAAGTGAGGCTGGTGGTCCCTCTGCTGCCAGAGCTACTAAGGGAGGCCTGGGCCGAGGTGGAGGGACTTGTGGGCACCCTGAAGGAATGGAAGTCTTGAGTTGCAGATTGATATGTATAAAAAAGCTCATTTTGGAGTAGAGAAAACCTTCACATTGTTTGAAATAGAAAAGAATCAGATGTTAGGCTATACCAAAGTTCTGTGCTTAGACAGATACTTCCTAATCATCTAGAGATATTTTTCTTTTTCTTTTTTTTTTTTTTGAGGGTCCGGTCGTGGGGCCTGAACTCTGGGCCTGGATGCTGTCCCCCAGCTCTTCAGCTCAAGGCTAGCGCTCTACCACTTGAGCCACAGTGCCACTTCTGGCTTTTTTTTTTTTTTCTGCTGAGGAATCAAACCCAGGGCCTCATGCATGCAAGGCAAGCGCTCTACCACTGAGCCACCTTCCCAGCTCCTAGAAATATTTTTCTGTCTGTATTTCCACATATGCTGTGTCCTGTGCCTGTCTATCAAGGTCAAGGTGCCCTTTCCTTGCCAGTGTCCACTGAACCTCAAGTTCTCCATAGTCTCATCGCTCTCCCTTGTGCCTGGTGGCGCTGGAGGGAGGCTTCCTGGAGGAAATGAGGGATCCTGCCCTTGAGGTGGCCCCTCTGTCCCCACCATGGGTCCCTTGTCCTCCAGAAGCGGGTAGGGTGTATGTAGGGAAGGCATTTTTGTTGTTCTCTTTGCCTCTCGGGAATTCCAGTATGGAGAAGGTGAGGAGCCGATGGGAGACGATGAGTATGATGAATACTCCAAAGAACTGAGCCAGTACCGCCGGTCCAAGGACAGCCGAGGCCGAGGTGGGCCCTGGGGCCGGGGAGGTGGGGTGCGGGCTGGGCTTCTGGGCCCCGGGAAGAGCAATGGATCTCTTCTCTCTCCCCTTTTCAGGTTTAAATCGTGGCCGTGGCCGTGGCTCCCGAGGTCGAGGGAAGGGGATGGGCCGGGGCCGAGGACGAGGCGGCAGCCGAGGAGGGATGAACAAGGGTGGGATGAACGATGATGAAGACTTCTATGATGATGACATGGGCGTGAGTGGACTTTTCCTCTTTTCCTTTTGATCTGGTGTTTGTGGCCCAGACCGTGGACTTGATTTCCTGTGAGGAGGCATTCTGTGGGCTTCTCCTGTTTCCTGCCCCCAGCAGCCCATCCCCGAGGGCCGTGCAGGTGGTGTGACCCTCTGTTTAAAGCACACCTTTGCAGCACACTCAGTGAGTCTCAGGGTTAGAAGGTTCTAGAGGAGGCGCCCCGATGGCTCAAGAGAGTGTTAGAGGGAAGCCCTGGCCACTTGCTGGAGGAAGAGGTACATTTGTGCACAGGTGTGTGGCACCAAGACTTGAGGGGCCAGAGCTTCTCCTATCAGAGCACCCCAGGAAGGCAGCGCTGTCCCCAGGGTCCTTGTGATTGCACATCCCAAACTCTCCTGCCTTCCTTTTCATGCCCTTCTCCCTCACCTGCTTGGCCTCACAGGACAGTGGTGGAGGCTACCGAAGGAGTGACCACGACAAGCCCCACCAGCAGTCCGACAAGAAAGGCAAAGTCATCTGCAAGTACTTCGTGGAAGGACGTTGCACATGGGTAAGGAGCAGGGTAGAGCGCCCAGTGTGCGGCCTCTGGTGAGGGCCTGTGGAGTGATCGTGTGATGACTGTTTTGTTGGTGTCTAGGGATGCTGGCTGTCCTGGAAGACTGAACTCCCTTCTCAGAGCCAAGCAGTCCCAGGATGTGACAACATGTGGGGAGTTTTGGTTTTAGGGGTGTATTTTGGCCAACATTTCTGTTTAGTCCATAAAGCCTAATGTGTATTGATGACGGTTGGTATTGCAGAGATGTGACATGCTTATGAAGTTGTTCACCTTCAAAGTTTTATCAGGAATCATTAAAGCAGCCAGAAAGAAAAGGGGGGAAATCAGGTTAGCCTTGCTCTTCGGAGACCGGGCTCCAGCTGTCTCCCAGTCTCCACCTGGCCTGCAGGAAAGCAGTGCTCTTTGTCATTAGCCAGCTGGCCACTACTGCCACCAAATGGCCAGGCCAGGTATGGAAGCATGGTGTCCAAAGAATGCTGCTTCTGACCAAGGTGTTATGTGAAAACATTACTTGGAATCACAATTCATTCTCCAGGAAAGTTGAAGTACATATAAACAAAAATGACCAGCTGTTCACAAGGCAAAAGTTAGCTTCATAGTGACAGGCAGGAAGTGGATACACACCCTGCTCCTACCTCTGGCAGCTGCAGACAGAGGAGCCCTAACTGCTGGCTGCGGCGCATATGCCCGGCTCTCAGGACAGGGATCTCCATGGGCGTGGGAGCTTGTTTCTGAGTCAGGGCAATGGCCTGCAGTCCCCCAAACTTCACTTGCCTTGAATTCTACTGGATTTACACATCCTGCGGTACCCGTGCTTCACGCCATCACACAGAAGACCTAGGAGTAGGAAAAATGGATGGCTTTTCTTTCTTTGTCCCCCCCCCCCCCCATTCTGGAAAAGTCCTTGAGAACTTTGCCAATATCTCATTGGCTACATTTTCAAGGAAAGTTGGGGTATTAAGTATTTTGAATTAGGCACATTTGTCCCCAAACAAAATGAAGGTTTTGTTAGGAAGGGCAAAATGTGGGCCTGGAGTGCAGATGGGGAGAAGCCCTAGTTCCAGTCAGCAGAAGTAAACCTGAGCAGATGAGAGAAGGAAAGGCAAAGCGGGCAGAAGGAAGCTGCAGACATCTGGGAAGGGAGCATAGGGTGCAGAGGCCCTGCAGAGGAGGTGTAGACAGGTCCTGGGAGCTGGCAGTGCTATATGAAGGCCTTTGCAGTTTGGGGGCACCCTGTCCACCCTGAGCCATCCCAACGAAAACCCTTTGTGCATGCTCAGCAACGGAGTTGGACTTCCCCTGGCAGACAGGAGGGAGCCAGGCTGGTGGCACTCTTACCTTTCAGTGCTTCTCTTCCAGGGAGACCACTGTAATTTCAGCCATGACATCGAACTGCCAAAGAAACGGGAGCTGTGCAAGTTTTACATCACTGGCTTCTGTGCCAGAGCCGAGAACTGCCCCTATATGCACGATATCCTTTTCCACCCGGTCTGCTCCGGTGCAGGTAACCGCCACTCCCCATTATACTCCCTCATTACCCCAGGATGGCCCATGTCTCATTCTGCGGAGGAAGAGAGACACAACTTGCCACATCCTGTCCAGCGCCCCTGTCTTGCTGAGATTTCCCCCATGGGCTTTGTAACCTTGGGGGAGTCACTTCCCCTCCCTTCCCCTGATGAGGGTCCGAGGCCTCACGTCCAGGGCCAGCTTGGTGGGCTGAACAGGAAGGAGTTTTGGGAACCATGTCTCACCTCCAGTCTGCTTCCAACCCACTGTAACCTGAGCAAGTTCCCTCACCTCTCTGGGCTTCTAAAAGGGGGTTGGATTACGCCTGAGGGTGGGTTCCGTGAGCTGAAGCATTTGCCTTAATCCACCATGAACGTGACTTCCCGTGTAAGCTGTACCACACGACTGGGAACTGCATCAACGGCGATGACTGCATGTTCTCCCACGACCCGCTGACTGAGGAGACCAGAGAGCTGTTGGATAAGGTAATGTCCGGGCTGCCCGAGGCACAGCTGACAGCAAGGCCTGCTGCCCCTCCCTTGCCTTGGTCTCTGGAGTACCAGAATTCCCAGTCTCGACCACCTGGAGCTGGGCTGTTGCAAGGGTGTGGTGACCCTGTGTGACACAGGGCAGCTGCTTGTGTCCCCTGTGGGCAGCCGTGTGGGAAGCACGTGCTGGTGTGTCTCCACAGGCCTTGTGGTCTTAGTACTTCCTGAACAAGAAGGCAGAAGACATGATGAGGGTTTCTTTGTAACTGTTGGGGACCTTGCAAAGAAGAGGTGACTAGCTCAGGCAAGAATCAAGGTGTTCTTACAGGTGACAATCTGACAGTCCTTGGTGTCCTCCCTCGGGAGCTTGAATTAGGCCCTGTGTTTGCTCACAACACATTGATATCCAGGAGGGAAGGGGTCCTTCAGATGGAGCTTGCGGGTGAGGGTAGGACCGCTGGAGACAGGAGGCCACCAAGCAAGCTGCTTCTTCAGCAGAGGCAGAGCCACCCAGAGGCCCTGCCTTGTGAAGCAGCAGAAGTGACAGTGCTCACTGCTTTTTGACCACTGCTCACCTTTGACATTCCCTTAGAAATGCTTACCATTTCAGAACTCACATCCTAGGTCAAGTCCTGGCAGCCCCACTTCTTATCTGAAGGACCCAATGTCTGGCCCAGTGCTGCCCCCTGCTGGATGTTCAGAGTTTGTGCCCCAATAGGGCATTCACTTCTGCTTTGTGTGTTATAAACAATTCTTTTTTTTGTTTTTGTTTTTGGGTCCGTCGTGGGGCCTGAACTCTGGGCCTGGGCGCTGTCCCTCAGCTCTTTAGCTCAAGGCTAGTGCTCTACCACTTGAGCCACAGCGCTACTTCCGGCTTTTATCTTTTTGCTTATGTGGTGCTGAGGAATCGAACGCATGGCCTCAGGCATGCAAGGCAAGTGCTCTACCACTGAGCCATCTTCCCAGCCCCAAACAATTCTTTTTTTTAAAATTAGCTTTCTGTTTTATTGGAGATGGGGACCTGTGAAGTAGCCCCAAATGACCTTGTGCTCATTGCAATCCTCTTGACTCAGTTTTTCAAGTACTAAGATTACAGGCATGCTGTATACACTCAGCTCAGCTCAGCCCCATTTCTAGCACTTACTATCTGTATGGGACATCATTGCATTCAATGCCTAATTTGAAACCAAGGTGGCCTGTTTTATCCTAACAAACCTTTGAAAGCATCAGTGTCATATGTCATCCCCTAAAAACTCCCAGGCCCTGAGTTCAAGCCCCACGACAATAAAAATAAAACAACAACAAAAAAAAAACTAGCAATGGAAGTCAGGAGCCTGTGGCTCACACCTGTAACCGCAGGTATCCAGAGGCTGAGATTAGGAGGATTATGGTTCAGGCCAGCTTAGGGAAAAAGTTTGCAAAATCTTATCTCTACAACTAACAGGTCATGAGTTACTTGCCACCTGTCATCCTCATTATATTGGAGATTCTAAGTAGGGGGATCAAGCTTCAGGAAAAGAGCACAGGGCATTTCCAACCAAGTAAAAAGGATTGATGGTTTGAGGGAGCTCACAGTAGACAAGAGTGGGGTGATAGGAACCCCACAGTGATACTAAACAGGAGTACCCAACAACTGTGTGGCAAAATGCCTGGGAATGGAAGGAAGAGGAGAAGCTGTGTTGGGCTCTGCAGGGAGGTGACCTCCACATGATGGGAGGTGCCCTGTGCCCAGGGGAGGAGGCTACACATGGTTATCTGACGAGGGTCCGAGGGTCCATTCCAGCAGCCTTCCCATCACGTTTCGCACCCTCTGTCACTGCAGATGTTGGCTGATGATGCTGAGGCGGGTGCCGAGGACGAGAAGGAAGTGGAAGAGCTGAAGAAGCAGGGCATCAACCCCCTGCCCAAGCCTCCCCCTGGTGTGGGCCTGTTGCCCACACCTCCTCGGCCCCCGGGCCCCCCAGCCCCTACCTCTCCCAACGGCAGGCCCATGCAGGGAGGCCCCCCGCCTCCTCCTCCACCCCCTCCACCGCCCCCGGGGCCCCCCCAGATGCCCATGCCAGTGCACGAGCCACTGTCCCCTCAGCAACTGCAGCAACAGCAGGACATGTACAACAAGAAGATCCCCTCCTTGTTCGAGATTGTGGTGCGGCCCACAGGACAGCTGGCTGAGAAGCTGGGCGTGCGGTGAGTGCCCAGGTCCCCGTCAGGCCATAGGCTGGCAACACCTCTCTGAGGCACTGTTGGAGCCCCTGGCTGGGAACATGGCTCGGGCTCGGGAGGGTTACTACCTCTCCCCAGCAGCTAGTTCACAGGCGTACATTTCCTCCTCTAGGTTCCCAGGACCTGGTGGACCCCAAGGGCCTATGGGTCCTGGACCCAACATGGGACCCCCAGGGCCCATGGGGGGCCCCATGCACCCTGATATGCATCCCGACATGCACCCTGACATGCACCCCGACATGCACCCTGACATGCACCCTGATATGCCAATGGGTCCTGGAATGAACCCTGGCCCACCCATGGGCCCTGGCGGCCCCCCAATGATGCCCTATGGTCCTGGAGACTCCCCGCACTCTGGAATGATGCCTCCTATCCCACCGGCCCAGAACTTCTACGAGAACTTCTACCCGCCGCAGGAAGGCATGGAGATGGAGCCGGGCCTCCTTGGGGATGCAGGTATGTGGCTCTACCTGGGGTGTCATGCATGGAGACTCTGTCTCCTCTCTGTCCCACGCAGTGGCCCAGTGTTCTCATGGTGTGGGTTTACTAATGTGCCAAGAGCATGGCCCCGTCAGAAATAAGCCACACGTCCCAGACAGAGCTGCCTTCTGTCCTTCCTTGTGAGAGCTGACACAACCAGGGCCTAATGATGGGGTGCTGTGGCTGAGGCCCAGGGAGAATGGCCTCGGGAAGGGAAAGATGCAGAGGAGAGAGCCTTGGAAAGCGGGAAGATGCACTCCTGCTCTAGGCTGGAGTTCTCACCTGGATGCCTTGTGAGGGAGGGAGGTTTGTTCTCCCAGAGGGAACTTGATGCAAGTGAATCAGTTCTCCGTCTTGGCCATGTTAGAATAAGACAGTACTAGTTGCTATGGGGAGGGCCAGGGCAGGGTGGTCGAGGCAGAGTGGAGGTGGCTGTGGGCACCTGGCCACAGCACAGCAGGCCGAGGCTGTACCAGTTACCTGGTGGCCATGTGCTGCTGAGGGAGAAGGCTAGAGCTCACCGTGGCTGCCCCCTCCTTGCTGTGTAGACTAAGGATGGAGGAGGGGGCGCTGAGGACATTTCTAGGCTGCCTGCTCTGGAGATGAGGTGGTAGCCAGAAGTTTGGGGGAAGTTTGGGGTCCAGTAGCTTGACACTGTGCCTTAGGACCCATGGCACCTTACGTGTGCTGGCGAGGGAGGGCAGGCAGAGCTTGGAGGTAGGGCACCGGAAGTGGCATCCCAGGCCTACTGGAGCCAGTGGTAAGTTGCACCCGATGGTCAGCCTCGCAGAAACTCCGAAGGCGCCGTTGAGGTTGTGGACCTGTGGGCTAGAGACAAGCAGGAAGGCCCCTTTGTTTTTGGCAAGTGACTGGTGTTCGGGGTGAGGAGCAAGGCTTCAGGGTAAAGAGAGAAATCAGGATGCCAGGAGCTAGGTGCTGGCCGGCCTGGTCCTAGGTGGTATGGGTAAGGCTCAGCAGGAGGAGACCAAAGTCAGGAGACCTAGCCCAGGCTGGCCTCAGGCTCGTGATCCTCCTGTCTCAGCCTCCCCAGTGCTTCCACACCGGCACAGTGGTTTTCTTTCTTAATTATCACAGAGCAGCCACAAAGCTAATGTTCATCCCGGATAACTAAGACAGGTCCCGTCTGTGGGGGAGCGAAAGCTGCCTGGTTGGTCTCCCCTGGTTCTGGTCCCAGAGGACCTGTTGCTCCCTGCCTGAAATCAGAGCCTTTGCTCAGAACACACTGCCCTATCCACCCACGGCCGTCATGAGCACTTACCAGCTGCTCGCCACACCTCACCCTTTCTGCTGCCTCCCAGCAGGCAGGCCCCTGCCGTCCCTGCAGGCATCCAGACTGGGGGAGGCAGAAGGGACTGAGACGGGACAGGCCTGGCGCCCGTGCCCATTGGCACTGGGACTGTATTGGTCCGCGGAGGGCAGGGGTAGAGTTGGCACCTGAGGCCCTTCCCCACACAAACCCTGGTTCTTCCCTGCCACAGAGGACTACGGGCACTACGAAGAGCTGCCGGGGCAGCCGGGGGAGCCCCTCTTCCCTGAGCACCCTCTGGAGCCTGACAGCTTCTCTGAGGGAGGGCCCTCAGGCCGGCCGAAGCCGGGCGCTGGTGTCCCCGACTTCTTGCCCTCGGCCCAGAGGGCTCTGTACCTGAGGATCCAGCAGAAGCAGCAGGAGGAGGAGGAGAGAGCAAGGAGGCTGGCTGAGAGCAGCAAGCAGGACCGGGAGAATGAGGAAGGCATGTGCCTGGGCGGGGGTGGGGCCGGGCCGGCTCTGCAGGCAGCTGCATGTCCCTGAGAGAGGCTGGGGTCAGGGCTGCCATGCTGGAGAGACCTGGCCCCCAAAGGGAGTGGTGGGTGGGGCCGCTGTCGGTGCGCATGCAGCCCCTTCTCTGCAGAGGTGCCTCGGGAGGGGAGGAGGAGGAGAGGCCAGTGAAGTCAGCCAGTGAAGTTGGAATCACAGGTGCTAATGCCTCAGGGAGAAACGTTGGGGTGTGCCACGTGAAGGAGACTGGGATCCAGCTGGGCTGCAGGAAGATGGCGGGAGTTTGGCTGTGCCCTGTGCTCAGGGCTCTGCGCAGGTTCTGTGTGCAGCAGGGTCAGCCCCTCTATTGGCCCGGCTCACTGTCAGGAGCTTGATCTTCCAGAACAAGTTGCTCAGGGCCAGGCGAGTGAGAGGAGGCCACAGAGCCTGGGCTGGAGAGGAGTCCTAGCTCAGTGCAATTCTATCTCCAGTTAATGGCACCATGGCCTGTTTCCTCATCTTTCCGGGGGGCACATGGATGCCAGGGTCCTGGGCATGGGGTACATTATTTAAACGAGACGCACCACCTAGAAGATGCTGGCATGGGAGGAAAGCCACACAGAAGTGTGCTTGGCGTCGGCCTCTTTGCCCTCAGCAGTCCCAGGAAGGGGCCCAGGCAGGCCCTGCCGAAAGCTGGGGGGCCGAGCACGTGCTCGCCCGCGGCCTGTTGGGTCCCAGTCTGGGGGCAGACGGGAGCCACTTACCTGCTCTTGTGCTCTTTCTTAGGAGACACTGGCAACTGGTACTCGAGCGACGAGGACGAGGGTGGGAGCAGCGTCACGTCCATCCTCAAGACCCTCAGGCAGCAGTCATCCAGCCGGCCCCAGGCCTCTGTCGGGGAGCTGAGCAGCAGTGGGCTGGGAGACCCCCGCCTCCAGAAGGGACACTCCGCAGGAGGCCGGCTGGCTGACCCTCGCCTTAGCCGGGACCCCCGGCTCACCCGCCACGCCGAGGCTGCCGGTGGCGCTGGCCCTGGGGACACGGGGCCCTCTGACCCTCGACTGGCTCGCACCCTGCCAGCCTCCAAGACTGATGGCAGCACCCATGCCAACCCTGCGGGCCCCGGCAGCTCCAAGGGGTCTGCACCGCCTCCTGCGGAAGAGGAGGAGGGGGAGCGCGCCTTGCGGGAGAAGGCGGTCAGCATCCCCCTGGACCCCCTCCCCGGACACCCCCTGCGGGACCCACGGTCGCAGCTGCAGCAGTTCAGCCACATCAAGAAGGACGTGACCCTGAGCAAGCCCAGCTTCGCCCGCACTGTGCTCTGGAACCCCGAGGACCTCATCCCCCTGCCCATCCCCAAGCAGGACGTGGTGCCCCCCGTGCCTGCCGCCCTGCAGTCCCTGCCCGCCCTGGATCCCAGGCTGCACCGCTCCAGCCCTGCAGGGCCCCCCAACACCCGGCAGCGCGCAGGGGCCTCCTCGGACTCCAGCAGCTCGGGCTCGAACCTGCCTGACTTCGAGCTGCTGTCTCGGATCCTCAAGACTGTCAACGTCAACGCCCCTGGCGCGGGCGACAAGCCCAGCGACCCCAGGGTGCGCAAGGCGCCCGCCGACCCGCGGCTGCAGAAGCCGGTGGACTCTGCTGCGGCGGCTGCGGCCCGCGTCGCCAAGCCCTGTGCCCCGGAAACCTCGCCCCCCACGGGGAGCCCCAGCCGGGAGTCGTCCCCCCCAGCCACGGCACCCTATGACCCCCGCGTGCTGGCGGCCGGCGGCCTGGGCCAGGGTGGCGGGAGCGGGCAGAGCAGCGTGCTGAGCGGCATCAGCCTGTATGACCCCAGGACTCCCAACACGGGGGGCAAAGCCTCAGAGCCGGCTGCGGAGGCGGGCGCCCAGCCCAAGGGCCCCGAGGGCAACGGCAAGAGTTCAGCCTCCAAAGCCAAGGAGCCCCCGTTCGTGCGCAAGTCAGCCCTGGAGCAGCCGGATGCGGGGAAGCCCGGGGCCGACGCGGGTGCCGCGGCCACGGACAGGTACAACAGCTACAACCGGCCTCGGCCCAAGGCTGCTGTGGCCTCCACCGCCTCCACCGGCACCCCGCCACCAGAGGGGGCCGCGCCCCAGCCCGGAGTGCATAACCTACCCGTGCCCACGCTCTTTGGGACCGTGAAGCCCACCCCCAAGTCCGGCTCAGGGAGCCCCTTTGCCGGCAACAGCCCGTCCCGCGAGGGCGAGCCGGACGCGGGGTCCCTGAAAGATGTCTTCAAAGGCTTTGACCCCACTGCCTCCCCCTTTTGCCAGTAGTGTTGGGGGGGGGCCGTGCTCCCCCCGCTCCACCCCTTCCAGGGTGAGACTTAAGGGCAGTCACCAGAGCTGGGGGATCCTGGGTGTTCTTTTCTTTTCCCCCCTCTTTTCGTTTCCTCTTACGTAGTCCTTTCTTTGAGACATAAATTGTACATAACACCTCCGTTCTGATCCGTCACCCCGGCCGGCCGCGGCTGCTGCTGGGGCTCCCAGGGCTCCCGCACTGCTGGACAAGGAAAAGTGGAGTCCACGCGTCTGTCCTGTTCGCTCGGCGTGAAGCCACTGTCACCTCAGGAGAGGAAGCCCTAGAGGTGGCCAGGCCTTCTGGCCCACTCTGTTCATGAATTTGCACTTGGGGCTTTGCACCCTCCGTCCAGAGTTCATCCTGAAAGCATCACACACCAGCGCCCATGGGAGACGGGGACAGACGGACCTGGGGTGCATCTCCCCCAGGAGGAAGCCCCTCGGAGTGTGCTTTCTGTCAGTATTACCCGTCCTGCCCCAGCCCGCACGCTGTGGGCCGCAGATGCCCCAGCACTGCCGGCCCCAGCCCCGTCCCCAGAGACAGCTCAAGGATCCGCAGCGCTGCCACCCGCCGGCCTCCGGAGCAGCGGCCTTGGAGGGCTACGGCCAGGCCCTGGTGCCCTGCCCGCTCTCCCCCTCGCTGCCAGCCCTGCCTCTGTAAGGCTGAGGCAGTGCAGCTTCGCTTCCCCCCCTCCCAAGCCGACAGACCACGGGCTCAGCCGTGAGGCGCAGTGTTGGATTTGTGGACATTTGCAGAAGGGGGCCTGAGGAAGGGAGCAATGTGGCTGGGCCTGGAGGGGACCCCCCACTGCCGTGGGAAGACACCAGCCATGCTTGAGCAGGGCACAGAAGTTTGCAGTAGCCTTCCCCCCGCCCCACCCCACTCTTCCTTCTGACTTCAGGCTTTCAGGCCTTTCTGCCTCCCTGCCTCTGGGCCCCTTTTTCTCCTCATGCCACTGATCCTCCGTCCCACTGCCTCACCCAAGGTCCCTGGCTCTTCCTTGCTAATAATGAGATCTGGTCACCCAGCCAAAGGTTCTTCTTCTGCCACCCCAAGAGAAAACGTGAAAAGGCAAAGCAATGAATTTGGGCTTAAAGCTGGGGTAGGAGAGCCTGGTGCCTGGCAGGGCCCACAGCCCCTTGGGGTTGGCTTGGTTGGTCTTTTGTTGTTTTGATTTGTTTTTTTAAGCAATCATTCATGAGATTTGTCGTCAGCCACCAGTGTGGGCCGTGAACACAAGGGCCACGTGTGTAGGTAAGTGACCATACACAGTGTGGCGGTGTTTTGGTGTTTCCCCCCCCCCCTTTTACTTTTTTTTTTGTAAAAGAAAAATGCTTTTTTAAAAACCGTAATCTGTGGATGAAATCGAAGCTGGAGCCCCCTGGAGCCTTCAGCCTAAGCACCTCATGGGACTGGGAACCCTGATCCCTGCTTGGCACCAGGCAGTGCTTTTAAAGAAATTGCTCTCTAACCAGGATTGTAACAAGAGTGTAAATACTATTTCCGAGTTGAAAGTTGATGGTGCAAATATGTATATAATGTACTGTATTTTTACAATGATCGCCGCATGACTACCCAGCCCCTTTTGTACTCCGCATCTGTCTTCCAGAAACTCACCTGCCTCTTCTCCTGTGGTCTCTTAATCCAATAATTGTATTACTGCCAATAAAGGATGCAGTTATTTTAAAGCCTGCCAGCCCTAGTCTCTGTGCTGCCCATACCTCCCCCGGCCTGGGGGAGAAGCAGAGGAAGGTGGGGTGGGCTGGGCACAGGTGAAACCTGTAGACTCCTTACCAGCAGAAAGTTAGAAAAGTGGATCTGTGGCTCACGTGGTAGAGCACCCACCAGTCTTGAGCAGAAAAAGCTAAGGGACAGTGCAAGAAAGAAACATCCTTTCTGGCATTCACCTTAGTACTGTTTTCTCACTAGTGTAAACCTTTTTGGTAGCCAATGTGTAAAAAGCATCTCAAGTACTTTCAGTTCACACTAAAGCCCATTCATAAGCATAGGAATGTCATGCTGTCTGTTGAGTTTATTTCTAGCGGTCCCTCCCCCTCCCCCCACACTACCAGGGCTTGAACTCTGGGCCCTATGCTTGCTTACCTTGATTGGCTGGTGCTCTGTTGCTTGAGCCAGGCATTTGTAGGTTTTGGTTTCTCTTTTTCTGCTAGTTAATTAGTGATGAGTCTCTTAGACTTTTCTGCCTGGGCTGGATTCAAACTATGGATGGTCCTCAAACCAAAATAGGATTTTTGTTTTTGTTTTTGCCAGTCTTGGGGCTTGAACTCAAGACCTGGGCACTGTCCCTGAGCTTCTTATGTTCAAGGCTAGCACTGTACCACTAAGCCACATTCCCAGTCCAAATTGGTATTTTATTTTGTCAGTTGTGGGGCTCTAACTCAGGGGCCTGGGCACTGTCCCTGAGTGGCATTCTGCCACTTGAGCCACAGCACCACTCAAATAGGTATTTTAAAGAAAGAAATATGGGAAGAATACAGTGCCTCTGTAAATAATAAAGCGGGGGTTGGGGGGGAAGAGGTAATGGTTCACACCTGTAATCCCAGCTACTCAGGAGGCTGAGAGCTGAGGATCGTAGTTGGAAGCCAGATCAGGCAGGAAATACCACGAGACTCATCCCTTAACCACCAGAAGACCGGAAGTGGTACCGTTCTAGCCTTGGAAAAAGCCTAGGGATAGCACCCAGGCCCTGAGTTCAAGTCCCATGACAACAACAACAACACAAGTGGGGGAAAAACTAAGACTGAACAGGAATACAAGGAAATAGCATTAGTAATTTCTCCTTGGCGAGATTACTGATGAAACTTGCTAGGCTCCACTACGTTTTGCAAGGTTCTACGTTAATAATCGAGTTTTCCGGCCGTTGGAAGTAAAGTTAAAAACTTCAAGTCCCAGGAGACACCGCGCCACGGGCTTCCGACGACCAACCTTTCCCGGACGCAATCGTCTCTGGGATTCGTAGTCTAGCTACAAGAGCAAGGTAGGACGCACACTACCGGCATAGATGACAAAGGTGGGAGTTATTGCCATTTTGACCAATGTGCAGTGTCTGCCGGGTATGAGTGACGGAGACACATACCAATAGGAACGCTGCGCAGCCTGAGTGATGTGCACGGCAGCCTACGAGTGACCCGTGGGGCGGGACAGCGCGCAGTGGCCCTTAGTGCGAACCATGGGAGGCGGCTGGTGGTGGGTTCGGGCCGCCCGCCTGGCCCGACTCCGCTTCCGGGGGTCGCTGCTGCCACCTCAGCGGCCCCGGAGCGGGGGTGCCCGAGGGTCCTTCGCCCCCGGCCACGGTCCCCGCGCCGGGGCTTCGCCACCCCCAGTGTCCGAACTGGACCGCGCAGACGCTTGGCTCCTCCGAAAGGCGCACGAGACAGGTCTGTGGAGGGACTGGGGTCTCCAGGAGGAGGCGAGCGGGCTGCGGGGTGGCCTGGCAGCGGCCACGGACAAACAAGCACCCTGGTTGCGCCACCTCCCAACGGGGCCGGGGCTCGGCAGGGACGTGGAAACGCAGAGGAGCTGGTTGCAAGGGCGCGGGCTGTCCGCCTGGGGCGCGCGGGCTTGCCGGGAGGAGGTGGGACTGGATTAATGGGGTGCAGCTGGGCTGGGGGCCGGTGGCTGGATGGGATTTGCCCTGCCTGCATGAGAGAGAGGCTCCCCGGGGCCGCCGAGAGTGCGGGTCCGTCCGGCTTGCAGAGGCGACCGCTGCGCGGGGCGTGTGGCTCCCCGCACTGATGGGCAAGCTCCTGATTGGAGACGGGCACAGCCAATAGAGCAAGAGATGCCAGCTGATTGGAGGGACAGGCGTCACGGCCTGGCGCGGATTGGTTTAACACTGGAGCTGGGACCAGCCCGTTGGCATCACCTAGGTCTTGAGCGAGGGGAGATGTGGATAGAGGGAGGACGCCCACCCCTGCTGGGAGAGGGTAGCGTTTAGAAGGAAGGTGGGGGGGGGGAGCTGGAGAGAAACGTGTGTAGGGGAAATTGGCCTGGAGGTATACACGAGGGTCTCCCTCTCTCTCTCCCCTCCACCCCCAATTTGACCTGGGTGCTGTTCCTTAGCTCCACTCAAGGCTGGCATTTTACCATTTGAGCCACACCTCCACTTCTGGCTTTTTGTTAGCTCACTGGAGATCATAGTCTCAAAGACTTTTCTACCCAGGCTGGCTCAGATCTCAGCCTTCTGAATGGTTAGGATTTCAGGTGTGAGCCATGAGCGCCTGACCATCTTATTAAATCTTTGCAGAATTTGGGGGAAGAGGGGATCAAATGAGGTTAAGAGAAGATTTCGAGGTGGGACTGCAGGGGGCTTCCTAGGAGAGGTGAGGCTGCCTCTTGACTGGATGGATGGAGGGGACTTGGATGATCTGGGGTGAGGTGGGGCGGGGGGCAGGTCTGGGGCAGGCAGTGTTTGCCCTGACCACAGTCCATTCTCCCTCCCGCAGCCTTCCTCTCCTGGTTCCGCAATGGTCTTCTGGCCTCTGGGATCGGGGTCATCTCCTTCATGCAGAGCGACATGGGCCGGGAAGCAGCCTACGGTGAGTGCAGAACCGCTCTGGTGTCACTTCCCATAAACGAATGGGGAATGGGGAGACCCTCATCCCAGGGTAGACTGTTTCATGCCTCCCCCAGTTGTGTATGTTAAACCCTCTTCTTTTCCCCCACCATGTCCTCATGGGCATTGGTCCCAGCTAAGGGGGTGGCCCAGACATAGCTTTGGGACTCCCCATTCCATTTTCTCAAACATGGGGGTTCCAGTCCCTCACATACGCCAGCCCCTCCACCTTCAGGCTTGTCCTGGCTCCCAGATGCCACCCTTAAGTCCCTGATGCATTCCATGCTAGTGTCCTTGGCTCTGAGCTTATGCTCCTCTCTCCCATTGATTTGCATGCCCACCCCCTTGTGCCCATTGACTGCACCCCCATTGACTGCGCTCCCTCTTTCCCTCTAGGATTTTTCCTGCTGGGTGGCCTGTGTGTGGTGTGGGGCAGTGCCTCATATGCCGTGGGCCTGGCCTCACTGCGGGGACCCATGCAGCTGACGCTGGGGGGTGCAGCAGCAGGTATGGGGGCTGTGCTGGCCGCCAGTCTGCTCTGGGCTTGTGCCGTGGGCCTCTACATGGGCCAGCTTGAGCTGGACGTGGAGCTGGTGCCCGAGGATGAGGGGACGAGCACCACCGAAGGCCGAGATGAAGCAGGCCGGCCGCCACCCGAGTAAGCCACGGGGTGAGGACCAGCTGGGCACTGGCTGGCCCGGGCCGGAGCACTGGGACATTAAAACCTGAGCCTTCGCTCGCCCTGGTTGTGGTAGTGCTTCCATGTACTTGGAGGGGAGGACCAGGGGGAGGATGGCGGTGAGCCAGATGCAGACAGGGACCCTGACATCCCCAAGAGGAGCAGGTGTTTAATTCTCCAGACCAGATGCAGGCCTGGGCCTAGGGTGGGGTGCAGCGCGGCCCTCCAAGTCCAGTCCTCAGTCCCCCTTCCGCTGCACCCTGGCCCCCACGGGCCCGGGGTAGGGCAGGCCAAGCGAGGGATAGAAGGCATCAGGGAGCCCTGGCCCTGGGCCCAGCCTCTGCAGGTGTGGGTACATGAGGCCCAGCTCGGCGGGACCATAGCGGATGGCACCAATGCCTCCCGGCGTGCACAGGAAGCCCGCGTGGAGGAGGGCGGGTGCAGGGTCCCCGGGAGGCGCCAGGCCCCATGACCGCACTGGGTCCAACTTTGGAGCTCCCGCGCGGATAACCGATGTGAACTCGGGTCGTGGGGGGGCCGCAGGCTCCTCATCTGCGCTGTCCTCAGAGCCCCTCCTTTCCCTGGGGCCCGGCTCCACTTTGATGCGTTTGCCCCTGAC